ATTATGCAAAGCGTACGGATCGGATTAACCTGTAAATTTCCTCTTCAGAAAGTGGTGGCGCAGGGTTCCCCACGTCGTATGGATACGATTGTAAAACACGACGTACGGATAGGGTTAAAAAACAAGGTGCCCGGTGAGAGATCTAGGCGCATAAAAAGTTGGTTGAATTGCTATGATGACAAACAATTAAAAAGTATATACCTGCTGTCCTATAAAATGAGTCAGCCAGATGTGTATAACATAATATAAAGGGGACGAGTATGGAGTGAGCCATAGTATAGTCTGTTGTTTCAATCTAGCCACCAGTCAAAATGGCGGTAATCTTGTTGCTCCTGGTCCTCTTCACCTCAGCACTGGGCGCTAGCAGTCTCCACAGAGGACAAAGAGCGGCTGATGACGGGTTCCTCATGGTCAACACCAGCTACGGCACTCTCAGGGGAAAGGTGGATTCTACACCTTCAGTTCCTGTGGCCAAGTTCTTGGGCGTTCCTTTTGCTAAACCTCCAACAGGTGAGATATTTTCGATACCCTTGATCTTCTCGTGCTTACCCCTTCGACTCTATCTTTCTATCTATGTCTTTACATTCTCAATTTCTATATTTCTCCCATCTCCGTCTATTTATCTATGTCTCTCCTTATATCTCTATCTATGTTTTTTAGTTTGTCTTTCCCTACCTCCCCCCTCCTCTCTCTCACGCGCGCTCCCCCTTGCTCTCTCTTTCAACCTTCGGGGGGACAGCTATGGATGTTCCCGTACTTTGTGTTTGTCTCTAGTTAAGGCAAGAATAAGGTCCTTGCATTAGTTTTATTAGAATTTGTATTGTTTAGTTTTTGTTATTGTTAAGTTCGACTTCCACAATTAGGGGCCTACATTATGTTGAGCTCTAACATATTAAATTGTCAGAGGGAGAGCCAAAGAGATAGGAACCCGGTGTGAAGATGACAATGGACAAATTCATCCTTGCAAGACCAGGGGTCCTGGGATCATTGCAGACTGGGTGAACCCAAAATCTTTACAGATGACTCTTGTCAATATGTAGTCAAGTCAGGTTGAGCTTTTGCCTCTCGAGTTCAAGGACAATGTGTTCAGGGGGGGTGTGGTGCAACTTTTTAGTGTGTGTATGGAAGTCACAATTTTGACTGACTAAATGAGCACACTTGAGAAAGTGAGGTGTGGGTACCTCTCTGCTGACTAGCTGAAGGGAACTAATTGGAGCATTCTGGGGGCGATCACCTGGATCTTCTGTCCTGGGCATGTTGATGGGAAAGGTAATGCACGAGCATGTCAGCTTGAAGGCGGCGCCGGAATAGAAGGATCACTCACACTAGATCCTACTATTGTAGCTGTACTCACACGTGACTACGTGGCGGCAAAGGGGAAAACAGCTTCTACACGATGAAGGTACAGGAAAGGAAAAGGAATACGAACAGGGCGGGTAAAGTTTTTATCATCCTCTGCCCCTGGGAAAGGAATCAGCGATCAATTACTGATATAGACACCATCAGTGTGACAACCTTAAAATAAATCGTGTTGAGCCTGGACGAGGACTTTTTAGACCTCATCTCTAAAGACCCAGTTCATGAATCAAGTATTCAAGGGTATGGAATTGCCAAACGTCCCTTCTGTCATTTACTGCCTTATATGTATTTGAAATGAGAACATAATCTCACTCTTAATATATTAATTTTTTTTTCTTTCTATTTCAGGACCGCTACGCTTCAAAGCTCCGGTGAAATCAGATTCCTGGGATGGTGTCAGAGATGCTCTTACATTTGGGGACGAGTGCTTACAGGGAGATAACCCTAATTTCCCTTTCCGAGGAGGAAACACGCGTCCACCTAGAAGTGAGGACTGTTTGTTCCTAAACGTGTACTCACCCACACAGAGAAATGGCCAGGCCTTGCTGCCTGTGATGGTGTGGATCCATGGTGGGGCGTACTTGATGGGGTCGGGTTCTGCATACGACGTCACGACTCTAGCGACTAAAGGAGTCCTTGTGGTGACAATTAACTACAGACTGAATATTTTTGGGTTCTTGTCAACGGGTGACGACACAATGCCAGGGAACTACGGAATGATGGATCAAATTGCTGCTCTCAAGTGGGTAAGGGACAACATTGCTTCTTTCGGAGGGGATCCGAATTTGGTAACCATTTTTGGGGAAAGCGCTGGCTCAGCGAGTGTCTCTCTCCTCACTCTATCTCCCCTAGCCAAAGGTCTGTTCCAGAGAGCGGTCATGGAAAGTGGTGTTTCTCTTTCTCCTTGGGCAGTGGAGTTCCCAGGAAATCGAGTGTCGTCTCGTATGGCAGCCAGACTGGCGAGTCAGGCCGTCCAGTGTGACGACTTGAATAATTCAACAGCGCTTTTGTCCTGCCTACAACAAGCCGATGCAGTTAAGTTGCTAAACGCTTCCACCACCCTTGCAAATGTTTTACAAGTAGGACTGGTACTATGGAATCCTAGAGTAGAAACAACATTTGGCTTCCTCCCAGAGTCACCATCTACACTACTTTCTAGAGGACAAATTAACCACGTAGACACTCTCAGGGGCTTTAATAGTGATGAATTTGGAATATTTACTCCTATATTCTCAAGGAAACCGCCCGTGCAAATCACAGCGGAAGTGGCAAAGCAAGTTATTGGTGCGCAAGTGGCTCAGTTTAACCAACTAAACCAAGGAAAGCTTCTTGGATTATTGGTGTCAACGTATCTGGCAGATACATCAAGCAGTGAAGTCCTACAGAGAGAAGCTCTTGATGCTGCGGATAATACTACGTTTGTGGGTTCAATAATGATAGAAATGAACTATGTTGCACGCAGTGTCTCGGATAAGAAACATTACTTGTACCAGTTCAACCACAGAGCAAGTTTCAGCCACGCTCCAACATGGATGTCAGCTATACACGGAGATGAGATGTTTTTCGTGTTTGATGTTCAACAGAAAAAGTTCACCGACTTAGGCAATGGTCCACCTGATGCTAACGACATTCTGGTATCTCAACAGATGATGGAAATGTGGACCAACTTTGCCAAGACAGGGAACCCAACGTCAACAGTGCCCACTGGTGGAGTGACGTGGAGTCAGTACATTAGCCCTACTGCACCACACTATCTTCTCATCAATTCTGTTTCTGAGTTAAAACTCTGGTCACAGAACAATGTCGTTGATGTGTACCGCAAAGTTCTCGAGACTCTAGAGGGAAGTAGCCCAGCCCCAGCTGACCCCATTGTTCCCATCTTTGGGTAAAAGACGAAAAGTTCTAGAGACTGTCAAGGTAATCAGCACACCCCAGTGTGCCCTATTATCGGGTAAAGGACGTAAACTGTTGGATACATAATTAGTCTACATGTGTCTGTGTTTTGCAATGAAAACATCTGCAGTATTGAGTTGTTTCATGGTTTTTGTAGCATAATCACTGTTCCCACGTTCCTAACGTATGCCAAGCAAGTCCTTACTTTGTGTCTGTCCCTCGTTTTTTCTGCACAATGTCTGCGAGTTTCATTACGTTTCTTGTTTGTTGTTTTTTTATCTACATTATTCAATAAGTTCCTTCAACATTAATAACTTGGCATTGGCCGAACAGTTTTGAGAGTGATAGCATACATTTAAACTTAACCTTGTTCACTTTAGTAGGAATTGTTATTCAAAAAGAAAGAGCAAACTTTTGGAGGCTTGTGTTCAAACTGTCTCCACATCTCATGATGATATCAACGAAGCTGGTAAACAATTATAGAAGTCGATGTCAATGTGTCTTTGGAATTAATATGTGATTTTCCCATTTGTTGTAAATTTCCCAAAAGACCTTTATGTTTGCATCTTACAAATAAAATAGAAAATATATTTTCTGGTTTTTTTGTTTTAATCCTGTTGTGAATTTAAAATGCAAAAAGTATAATTAAATATTAAGGCAGAAATAATATAGACAGAATCGTGTTTTCTCTTGGATTGTTTTTCTGACTGGTGTCTATGGAGTAGCTGTAGTGTGTTTTTCCGTCGCAAGCTGAAGACTCGAGTTCGATTCCAGTGTGGGGAGAATCTTATTGAGTAGCTTGGTCTTTTCACTTGGACGTTGTATCCCTCTGAGCCTTGGCAGAGTCAAATCCTTTTTCTCCAATGATCTAGAGATGCTGCCAATTCAAGTTTGATCGACAACTTTTATCAAATTATTTCAACAGCAGTGCTATCTTAAAAGTAAATATCCTGCTCTGAGTCAGACTTCCACCTTTCTATGACGAGTAGGGATCACGGAGCAATAGGTACCAAGACTGTTTCGAACGAACATTTAAAGTTCCGAAATTGTAACGTTATCAGAACAAAAACTAATGGGGAAACACAAAACAACAATAGCAACAACAATAACACCACCACCACCACCACCACCACCACTACCAACAACAACAACAACAACAATAACAACAACAAAAACAACAGCAACAACAACAACAAATTCGACACTGGCGAACTGAAGAGGTCTAGTACACACTCAGCATCACATTAATGTGTATCCGTCTAATACGCTGAAAGAGAATCAATACAAAATAAATAAACAGCATAACTTTATTTTGCAATGAGCCGTCTCCTTATGATATATGTGAGATGTGCTGACAAAATGAGTTACTTCTCGGATGTTAGCCATATAGAAATTGATGCATCGACTTTATAGGTGAAGTTTGTACAGTTTGTAAGTGTGGAATAATAAAAGACACCGTTGACATGAACAAAATGGCATCAATTGAAAATACAAAAATCTTATCCCAGTGTCGATTTTCGGCCGATATCTCCATTCTTGGATAGCCAAAAGTAGCTCATTTTGTCAGCCCATCTCACATATGGTCGCTTTTAAGCACAAGGGGCTATCCGGAAAAAAGCTGTTTTGAGAAAATCGGAGTTAAAGTTTTTGGACCCTTGTTTAGTTTCTTTAAAAGACAAGGAGAGTTTTCTCTATAACCAAACAAATATACACACCAATGAAACCAAACTTCTCCTATAGGTAGGGCAATGCCCACATTTGGTGTAGGTCAAGATTTCTGGAAACCCCCGAAATCTGAATTAGGCCGCTTGTCCTTAAAAGCGACCATTATTATTTTCTATAGCATTGAAATTCGGCGCACATTGCCGCTTCCCTTTGGTACAGAACAGAGCAGGAGTCTCAGTGAGGGGGGAGGGGGCGGGGCTCTCGTGGTCGAGAGGTTATGGTGTTTGCCTCCCGGGTTCGAATCTGGACAGCGACGGTGAATTTTCTTCTCTAAAATGTTGTTCTTTGACATCATTTTCTCAGTCAAACAATATGAAGTTATGAGTCCACAAGCTTTTAAAATTGGCACTCTCACAATTTATCAGTTTGAGATTACTGTCGTTTTTCTCCTGTGCTCTTCAGTTACATTATCCCCTTCTTCCTATTAGGCCTACATGTATCCTGGCGAAACTGATGCCCCCTGACCTGGTGCAGTCGATTTTATCTCAAATTCCCGAGAGTTAGCCTAACTTATAGTTTCTGTTTTTCTGAAGAGCTCCAAGATTAGAACTCGCAGACCCCAGTATCTCTTGATCTCCCAGGAACAGGAGGTTGTAAACGTACCACAGAGAAGATTCTCAGATGATACCATGCTTTCACTCCCAGCTCCAGCCGTTTTCCAACTTTCACGTATTTTTGTATTTTGTTACTCCTTTTTGAACGCACTGAGTTGATTATTGATTTTACTGGTGGCAAAATCCTTATCCGCAGTCGCGTAAATCTGGATGCAAATAGCTTTTTCATTTGACTGACTGTTGTTTTAGCACTTGCTTTTCTTATTTTATATCTTTTTCACTTCTGACATTGTGGAGGATTGTTGCCCCTAGACATTTGAATTGGTGTAGTTGTTTGATTCTCTTCTCATCAAATTCTTAGATCTATTTCTGTTGTTTTTCCAGTTGATTTTGATGTGACCATTGTTTTTGTATTCTTTAAGTTTACATCGAGGCCTGCCTTGATGCTGTTTTCTTTTAACTACTTTCGCTATTTTAGAAAGATTTCGTTTGTGTTTGCAAGCAGGACAGTATCATCTGCGCATTTCAGGTCATTGATGTTGCGGCTAGCAATAATGACTCCCTGCAAGTCTTGGGGTTCTTGAAGGGGAAATAACTCAGTGTAATAATAATCACTAACGACAGTAAACATAAAATAGAAGCAACAGAAATGTGGTTTCTTAGGAGACTGCTAAGAGTATCGTGAGAGGAAAAGAAATCAGATGAGGTAGTGCTTGATGAAGCCCATGTGGGACGCTCAATGGTAATGCTAAGGGTTTGGTGGGTGAAAGCTGATTCTGTTCTAGCTTTTCAGCTGTCTTTGGGCAAGTAAGTTTTTCCTTTTTCTTTTTTTTATTACATACACGTTCACACGGGGCTGAGAAAATAAAAAAAGACCCTTTTGTGGTGTAATAGAAATCATGCACATCTACCGGGAGATGGATATAAAAAGCATATTATTATTATGCTTAACCCTACCCGTACATCATGTTTTACTATCGTATCCATACGACGTAGGGAATCCTGTGCCACCACTTAACCCTATCCGTAAGTCATGTTTTACTATCGTATCCATACGACGTAGGGAATCCTGTGCCACCACTTAACCCTATCCGTAAGTCATGTTTTACTATCGTATCCATACGACGTAGGGAATCCTGTGCCACCACTTAACCCTATCCGTAAGTCATGTTTTACTATCGTATCCATACGA